TCTGCAACAAACCTTAATCGATTCGATCAGGGCCTCATTCCTGGCTCCGCTCAGTGTATACCCCGGCGGAGGGTACGGAAAGCACCGAGACATTATCTTCGAGATCGAATCAAGGATTTGTCCAGAAAACACAGAATGAACCTAATGACCGGTGGCAAATTATTCTTTTTTTTCCCCTAAAAATCAGAAAAAATCTCCCGCAGATCGACCGATCTTGACGATCGAAAACCCTGAAGATAGCTTGGAACCCTAGTTTCGATTTAGGCGTCCCTTGGGGGAAAAAAACGACAATGATTGTAGCCAGAAATTAGGGGGTGGGGGCTGTATTTATAACCGCTGGAGGTAAGAGAGTGCCCTCTGATTTTCGGATTTTGCAGGATGGTCCTTGGATTTGTAAATATTTTCATTTTAATGTACTTTTTAGCCCTCATCCTTTTCCTATGAGTAGTAGACACATCAAAGGTGTGTTTGGTTCTTACAAGGGAAAGCATCAAGTACCTAAAATATAGTTCAGTTGGTGATGAAGTTTAAAGTCGATCATTTGACTTGAATTTTTGAAAGAAACAAATGTGGAAATCAATAATTTTACATTTAAAGTTGGAACAATAGTACAAATTTGTGGAGAACTTTTTTTTTTTTTTCTTTTTTCCCAAGTGAATATGTTGTATTCGGTCATAGAAATAGTTACTCGACCGAATAGATTTTTGGAACACATCTAACAGTGTACAAATAAATAATTACAAAAGATTTTTTGTAATTTAGATATAAATCATCTGATTAATGAAAAAAAACCTGTACTAGTATCTTAATTCAAATATGACAGTTGATCATGCTCCATGTTTTAAGAAATTTTCTCACTTATAAATAATATATAAAACAAATACATCTAACATAAATTACTCTTTTTTTTTCTCGTTTCAAAGATTTCACCACTAGTATTTGTAATGTTTAAATCACACAAAAACTACATAAGACAAGCATCAAGAAGAGAGGATTGGATGCACACATAATCAAAGCAGTTAAACGAAACGAGCTACTTGTGAGTTCGGCTCGTTAAGACTCGAGTTCGACTTGTTAAGACTAGAGTTCGGCTCGGCTCGGCTCGTTTTGTAACGCCCATATTTTTATTTACTATTTATGGAGCTCGACTATATTTCCATAAATATTAAGTTCCCTAATTTGATGCATTTATTATTATTAATTGCATTAAATTAAATAATTAGTATTAAAGTCTAAGACCTGGAGAATTTTTTCGATTTTAATTATTAAAGTATGATTTATTTAGCCCAAGTATCGGTTATATTTTTAAAATCGAGTCTTGGTTTAATTGAAATTTTATTTAAGCGGACCGAAGCCGAATAATTTAATTATTCGAGCCTAACCAATTTCGAGCAATTTCAAATTATTCTAGCCGGCCCATTTAAGTTAATCGTGCCTATGTTCGATTTTATTTAGACCCATTTCATCTTAGTAAATCGAGCCCAAGTTCGATTTTATTTTAGTTTATTTTAAAAATCGAGCTATAGTCAATTTTTAAAGTGGAGACTAATAATTTTAGAAAATTTGACCGTCTAATTTAATTAGTCCAATTCCTGTTAATTTTCCTAGCCGAGTATTTAATTCCTTAGTCAATATCCGATTTAATCGAGCCTATGTCGAATTTAATTACTATCCCGGTTTTAAGATTTTATAGCCCCGATTTCTAAGCCCAATGTTGAGGCCCAATAAACAACTCAAACTACCTACTATAAATACCACACTATCATCTTCTCCTCTCCCAACACAACATCAAAAACCCTAGCCACCACTCCACCATCTACCACACAAAATCCGGCCACCCCCAACTCCCACGAGCC